GAAATTCGCACTTTTTTACAGCAAGAACGTTATGAAAACGCCAAATATTTTACTGAACCAGATTTTTTTGCTAAACCTAGCATATTTATGCGATATATTTGAGAAATTAAATAATTTGAATCTCTCTTTGCAAGGTAACAATATGCACATTCTGAAACTATCGGAGACGATTGCGGCATTAAGAAAGAAACTGCATTTGCGGACAAAAAAATGAATGAAGGCGAGGGTCAAGATTGCTTCCCGCAATTGTATATACGTAAATATGCGGCATCTAATGAACTGGTTATTTCACAGGACCTGATTGCCCTTTTTACGGAACACCTAGTGAGGCTCACCGAATGGTTTTTGAAGTACTTTGCAGATGATGATGTCGAAAAATTTGAGTGGATCCAAGATCCTTTTCATGCACAAACTCCACCAGGATTCACATCACAAGATGAAGAAAGTCTCATTGAACTCTCTTGCGACAGCAGCCTTAAAATTAGATTCACCAGTTCCGATTTGGTGGAGTTTTGGTTATCGATCCAAAATGAATATTAAAAATATTCCAATTTAACTTCAAAAGCATTAAGAATTTTCATTCTGTTTGCAACATCATATCTATGTGAAGCTGGATTTTCAGCTGTAGCTGTAATAAAGAACAAATATCGCTCAAGGTTCAACGTAGAGCAAGAAATGAGAGTATCCGTGTCAAGTCTTATTCCCCGCTTCGAAAAACTGTGCGGAGATCACCAAGCTCACCCATCAGATTGATTTGACGGAGTAAATATTGTATTTTATTTTTGGTTTTCTTAAGTCTTTCTCGTTGTTTTCAGTTTCAATTCTTTAATAATAAAAAAGTCAATTTAATATTGTAGATATGTAGATGTTTCGATTCTTTTTCCGCTCTCGCTAACCTAACTACTATTATTGTAGGTACCTATTTCTTTCGATTGTCTTTTTTTCGGGCGCCGTGACAATATACTAAACTTGTAACTGCGTCGTGGGTTTTAAAATATTGGAAACCCCGCTTTATATAACAACTCTCTGGTAAAACTACAGGAATTGCTTTCATACATCCATCTCTCTCACTCATACATCATACGTATTCAAGGGGCCTCCATACGCGGAGGTTTGTACATTCGTTTTTTGTCTCGGTATCTTGAAAATTTTCTCGTCAACGTATGAGTCTTCCACATTTATGCTTTTCATTGTCTGTATGACAACTGGCTTGCCATGGGCGCATGACTTGTGCTTACCTAAGTTGATTTTTGATATAAAATATAGTTAGTACCTGGCTGAAAATGATGATCCTTTATCACTCAAATCATGTGTGTGGCAATTGCATTACGGTGTGCCATTTTTCAATGGCCGCCATATTGGATTCAGATTGCTATCGCGTTGCTTGTTATATTTGTCCCATAAAGACCTTTAAGTTGATACCTGTCATAGATGATACAGTGGACCTCCGGTAATCCGACAAACATTATGCAGAGCAGTGTCGGACTATCGAATTTGTCGGATTATAGAGCACTGCCTAAGACCCCCTATAGTCCGAAATTTTTTACAAAAGAGTACCTTGTAATCCGACAAATTACATATACAATGGTAAGATTATGTATACATATATGTTATGTATATGTATGTACTTCGAAGTACAAATCATACATAGTTTATGTATGTCGAATTTAGTAAATTAAATAACAATAGAGAGCTTACGTTTTATTATAAAATTAAGCATAAATGCACATACATATGTACCAAAATAATCAAGAATTATTAATCAAAATCATTAATGAATTTATCAAATTATGAAGCTTGGAAATATTCTTAATTTTTTTTTTGTTTAAGGTTGTTATAACGCGAGATCAGAGTTGTCCCTCAGTCTTCTCAAAAGTAAAAGTTCGTTGTAGGTTGTACCATCTCCATCTTCAGCCCATTGTAAACCTAGCTCAAAGGCGTTAATTGCGTCTTGTGCTGTGACCTGTGGAGCAGTTGCGATCACGCCGTCGTTATTTTCCTGATTGTTTGTTGTATAATTAGAAACCTCTTTTATAATCTCTTCGTGAGACATTTCATGGAAAATATTTTGCTCTTTATCCATTCCACGGCACCCGATTTCCAAATCTTCCGGACTTGTGTTTCAGTAGCGACTTGTTCCATAACTTCCGAAGTTACACTGATGTGGAACGTTGCTAGGAGTGGTGACTATATCCGGCCAAAACTTTTTCCAAGACGATTTTATAGTTGATGACGGTAACGTATTCCACGACTGACAAAGAGCAAAAACCAAGTCTTTCATATTAAATTCTTTTAAAGTTTTTTCTATTGGTTGGTCTTTTGATACGACTCTCAGAAGTAGGTTTTTCTTATAGTCTTGCTTGACAAACTGAATGATATTCTGGTCCATTGGTTGAATCAGTGCAGTGCAATTTGGCGGAAGAAACATCGCAGTGATGCATTTATCCTCAGTTGTTAGTTCTTCTTCAGACGGATGACCGGTAGCATTATCAAGAAGCAACAACGCTTTTTGAGGAAAATTAAGATCTTTTAACCATTTTCTAACTTCAGGTACGAAGCATTCATCAAACCACTTTTTTAAAAGGTCTTTTGTCATCCATGCTCTTTTTTGTCCGTAATAGTGTACAGGTAAATCAATGTTTTCGAATGCCCGTGGTTTATTAGATTTCCCAATGACGATCATCTTAAGAGCGTGTGTGCCCGCAGCGTTAGCACATGGTAGTATGGTTACACGCTCTTTACTTACTTTTCGTCTAGGTACGGATTTTTCGTTACAAGAAACGAAAGTTTTGTTAGGCATCTCACGCCAAAAAAGCCCTGATTCGTCTGCATTGTACACCTGTGACGGGTCAAGATTTAAATCGTTCACCTTTTGCAAAAATCTTAATTTAAAGGGCTCTATGCAGGTGGCATCGTTAGAAAGTTTTTCTCCTATAATAGTCATTAAACGTATGCCATGACGACTTTTAAAACGTTCTAGCCATCCTTTGCTGGCCACAAAATCATCCTTTTTTGTTATTTCCTTATAAAAAAACTTCGCTTTCATGGCCAACATGGGTCCTAAAATTGGAGCATGCCTATTTCTTTCCTGAAGAAACCCCATGTACAAAGCTTCTTCCACTTCTGGATGTTCAGCTTTCTTGAGTGTCTGTCTCTTGCCTGGCCCGCAGTCAGTAGTTGACACGAACTTCTTGATCTTCTCGTGGTTTCTTTTAATGTCATAAATTGTAGATCGGCCTACGCCGAATTCACTTGCTAGACTACTGAAAGTTTCATTGCGATTTAAGCGGTCTAAAATATCACATTTTTCTTTAATTGTCAATGTTTTGTGCTTTCGCTTCTGAGTTTATGATGACATTACTAGGTACTATACTTAATACACAATGAATAAATAGTAAACAATGAACGCACGCTAGGGCGTACCGCAATCACCAGTAGTCAAATTCAAACTAAGTAAAACAATGCTTACGCGTCGAGCACGATAGCGGTGGCGCGTACAAGTTGTAACCTGTTAAAACCTGCGTGATCTACATTCGCGAAGATTGTCAAATACGTATGTATGTAATACATATTCAAAGACATGTCGGATTACAGGGGGCGCCGGATTATCGGGGGTCCACTGTAATTATAAACGCCATCTTGGAATGGTCACCACACTAGATTTGGAATGGCGTCACTGTGCTTATTGCGTTTCTTTCACGAAGCCCTTTTATTTGACTGCGAGAAAATGTAAATCGCCATTTTGCGGCGGTCACCATATTGGATCTAGAATAACGTCACCTTGCTTAATATGTTTCATCAAACCTCTTCATTCGACACCTATATCATAAGGGTTATTATAGAAATGATGAATCGCCATTTTATAGCAACCGCCACATTGGATTCAAAGTGGTGACCGTTAATATGTTTTGTATTGTCACGCAAAATTTCAGTTCAATTGGTTAAGGTTAACTGATTCAAAATGCAGTTCCAAAATTGACCCCACACAAACTAACAAATACGTCAAGTTGAATAAAAGCTTGCAAAATGAAAAGTGTTCCTGATTATCTTAATTACCAGATTACTTCAGAAAGACGAGTATAATTTAATTAGTAATGACTTCAGTATTTCATTTGATATGCTGATTTGACCATCAAAACATTGGGCAAAAGACAAAAACATTGCCTTCCAGAAAGGTCCTTACCTAAATATTTTTTTAATGTAACAAGTTAGCTAGTTGAAATTTGGGATAATGAAATTATATTTTATTTTTAAAGTGACAGTTGAAAATATCAAGCTTGAGCGTCATCTTGGGACATGTTTATTAATAGAATTGAGGGTCATGCGATACTTCATTTTGAAGTTCCTTATTATTAATTTGAAAGCCTACAGTATGAATTTACTCTTTCAAAGTGGCGAACTGGCACGCTGTCAAAGTTGAGCATTTTTGTAAATTCTTGGAAAAGTCAATCTGATTATGCAATAAAATAGTACGTCTATACAGCTAGCAGATTTTGACAGTTTTTTAAGTGGAACAATCCATATTTTATTGCATATTCAGATCATTTCAAGATAGGAAGATTGATATACTATAAGCCTGTTGCACCGCTATTTTGAAAGATGTGATTTTATATTCTAGGGGTGTAAAGTATACTGTTAAGTAGCTTTCAAATGAGCTACCACCTGTCCATTTAAAAAAATCTTCCAATATGGCGTTCATCCACCATATTGAGATTCACAACTATCGCTTTTACATTAAAATTTAGTATTTATGCGTCAGTTTCATCCCTCCAAATTTTATCCTGCTAAATTGACCCATTTAAAAAATAAGTAACAGTTGAAAGCATTGTATATCCAATTATTATATTTATGTTGTAAAGAGTTTTGCAGTACGTGTTAACATGGATCTTTCAGAAAACAAAAAAGAAATCATTATTATCCCAGACAAAGCTGTCTTTGAGGTCAATATAAAATATATTCATAACATTTTTGATCCAAACGTTCTAATATTACAATTTAAGGGCTCTAATTGAAACAGAGTCGAAGAAAAAAGAAGTGGACCATGCTTTAAAAAAATCGCAGTCTGAAGCTTCTCGCTATAGGAAAGAGGTTCACAATTTAGAAACCACTTATACACAAATAAAGTAAGTTATTTTTATTTGCATTCACAAATATTCAATATTAACACATCATTTGATACACTGAGTGACAAAAAAAGGTAAACACCTACGTATGTTTGTCCGATTTTAATAATTTTTGGCATATTATGTTCAGTGTCCCTTACTAGTAAAATGATTAAATGTTCAGCTTGTTTCGTCAACTGACTGCAGAAGCTGGTTCAATAATGTGTTGAGGATCCAAGATTTCTTGTAAACTCATACGTAGGTGTTTAGCTTTTTTTGTCACTCAGTATATTTTGATCATTCATCATACATATCTTACATTATGCTTCATTGTTCTAGGAGAGAACTAGAGCATTTAAAAATCTCAACAGATAATGAAAAGCAGTACTTGAGATCAAAGATTTCTGAGTTGAATGACAAGCTTACAGCTAGGAATAGTAATCATGACAATACAAGTCTAAAACGTGTAGCTCAAGAAAGCCCTGTAAATTACACCAAAACACCTAAGTTAACTAAATTGGTGAGTGGTTAAAAAATAAATATGCTCTGCTTTCGCCCATCCTAACAAAGGCAGCCAGCCTTGGACAGCTGTTTCTTGTTTTTTGGCTACTCTTCAGCATGGTCTAGGCTTGGGTCTCTCGGACAACGCACGAAAGCGTAGCATACTATACAAGGTGTGTGATCTATCAAAATAAGACGCACTGCAATTCACTGTTTCGCAGTAGTCGATTCTAGCGATAGATGACGCTTCGAGCTGACCTATTTTGGTGAGCGATTGTTGGGCATTATAATTATTTTTTACACTCCACTTTTTATTACTTTTCAGCCTCTACACAGTATATTTCTTAAATGAATGTCAGTATTTAAGAGGACGACTTTTGGATTCATTTTAAGAAGCAAACTTCATAATTATGAATGCCCAAAACATCCTAACTGTTGAGATACAGGGTGGTAAAGTTTTCAATATAGAAGATCAGTGGCATTTATTTCTGGCAAGATTTGATATCTTGAATTCTTTAACCCATCGCACGGTTCTTACCCAAAAAAATTAATTAGCATTGACATTGACATATTAACGGTATCGTTAGAATCATGCGGAGAAAATGTTTTTATCTTTTAAGCGAAGACCCTGCATCAGATTGATAAAATCAAGTGATCAAAATTGCTTAGAAATGATTGAGATTTCATGAGTAATTTTTATCTTAAGAGAAATCAGGGGCTTGCCAATGTCTGTTACAATAAGCAGGTGAAAATTTGTACGAACGCCAATGGAAATTAAAATTGTACATTGAAAAATGCATCTTTATACATCTATGCCAAAAAGTATCAGTGGTATTACAGATTTTAATAATACATGATTTGTTCTTTACCAACATATGGTGAACGGTACAATTTCGAAGCAGTACAACATGAAAATGTTGGAGCTCCTCAAGGATCAGTATTGGCACCTTTGTTGTTCATTTTATTTGTCAATGATTTAAGCCCATTCTGGCTTCGTAATAAGCTACGCTGATGATACCTCAGTTGTAGTAAGTGGTACTACATTTGAGGAACTTGTTCGTAATATTACCCTAGTGGAAAGTGAAATACAGCTATGGTGAATTGCTTGATTTTAAATACCGGCAAGACTGTTATCGTTCACTTTAATTCTTATAGGTTACAGCTTCACGACGTCGACACTTACTCGGGGACCTTTTGAGGATGATTATGGATTCCAAGCTTACTTTAAAAATGCATATTGACTCAATATGTAAAACTCTCGACAAATCATATTTTGCCATCTTAAAATTGACGCACTGTGTATCACAGGCAGTATTGCTTAATGTTTATTATGCGATGGTATACTCGCATTTGTCAAGCCGGTATTGTGAAAAAGGCATTCATAATTCAAAAAAGAATAATGAGATTAGTTTTTAACATAGCTAGACGTGAATCTTGTAGGTCTACATTCAAGATTAATGATCAGCTAACACCTATGGCAGTCTACATCTTTAACTGGGCTATATATGGATTCCACAACAAATGTAGGTTTGTTAAAAATAAAGATGTGAATGTTCGTTACAACACAAGAGCTGGCATGGAGCATACCATCACATGCATTAACGATGCATTCACGATATTTGAAAAATCACCTGAGTATGCGTGTATAAAAATCTGTAAGCTTCCCTCTGAGCTTAAAAGACTTCAGAATGTCATAGTACTCAAAAAACGCCTGATGAGGTGTCTTGTGGAGCTGTACCCCTACTCAATAACAGACTTTTTACGAGTATGTCATTCATTCTTTAATATAAATTATACATATATTTTAACGTGCCTATTGTTTCATTCAATGTGCTATTGTAACTGTTTTTATTAACCGAATCTCTGCACTCTTTTTACGTACTCATCTAATGTAATAAGCATCTACTGTATTACAGTTTAGATATTTTATGCAATTATTGACTTCCACAAATACACTTTGTGTAAAATGCCAATAAATAAATACAACTACATACGTTCATATAAAGTTTTGTCTCCAAAAATCGCTTTTTTAAATACTGACATTCAATTAGGAAACACCCTATTTTTTCCTTTTTTTTTAGAAAGAGAGTGACATACCTGCATCTGATAAACCAGATGTCGAATCACCATATCTGCAATTAAAATCAAATGTGGGCATTGGTTATGGTCAATTTTTGAATGCAAAATATATTTCCTCCAAAGATCTTCCTAAGGAAGGTGTAAGTATACTTACTACATATTTTTATTTTATACCGAAGCAGCCGCGCAGGCAGGAGCCTAAATGCCAGGCCACCATGGCTGCTGAGATGATCCCAAAGAAATTTTGTTAATACCATTTTTGAACTGCCTAAGGTTAGTAGAACTGGGAAAAGCTTCCTCTTGTAGATTGTTCCACAATTTCGACACCTTCGGGACAAACGGTCGTATCGGCCAGTTCTGGATGTACGAAGTTCGACACGGTTAGGATGGGGCGCCAAAGTCAGGCGGGTCTGTCTGGCAGGCACATCGCGCGGCGGCATCATGGAAGAGGGCTCTGCGGAGCAAATCCCGTTGGTGTAGCGGTAGAAAAGAGCTAGATCGCCGACGGCCCGCCGGGGCGAAAGGGTCCTGAGACCGTCTGTTAGAGAAGAGTCATCGATCAGTCGGACCGCCCTCTTCTGGACAGCATCGAGCATAAATAATGGAGTCGGGGCGGCAGCACCCCAAACGTGTGAACAATACTCAAGGCTAGGCCTTATCTGAGCCTTGTATAGAGAGAAGGTCATGCGGACAAAAGTACTTCTTAGCCCAACTTTTTCCCACCAGCTGCCACTATTGACGAGATGTATTCGTGCCAGATTAAGTCCTCGGTGATCTGCACTCCGACCAGCCGAGCTGAACGGCTCTTTGGCAGAACTCGACCATCCATCGAAACCGGATGAGCGCTAGGACGCTTTTTGTTCGTCAAGGTACAGTACTGTGTTTTGGCACTATACAAGATTGTTACGTCCCCAAGCAGTGATAACCTCCAGGTCTCTCGTCAGAGATGAAGTCGTCGCTAGTCTTCTTTTTTCCAGCTCAGCGATATGTCACGCTGAATTCCTGCATGTATAGTGCGGTCATCAGCGAAGCTGTGGATTGGGTTGATCGTGCAGAAAAGGAGGTCGTTGATATGTAAGGGGAGCCAAGACCGATCCCTGGGTAACACTCGCGTTGACGATGTGGGATGAAGAGGAGAACCCGTCAATTACGACGGATATCTTGCGGCCAGAGATAATGTCAGCCACCCATCTGCAAAGCTTTTCTGGAAGGCCTGGAAGGATGGAAGTTTGCTTAAAAGGGCAGCGTGCCACGGCTGATCGAACGCTTTCGTGATGTCAAGAGCAACGACATGAGCCTAACCATAAGACTGGATGAGTTTACTCCACAATTCCGTGACGTAAGCTAGGAGGTCCCCTGTGGATCGCTGGTGCCGGAAACCACACTGCCTGTCGCTAATCAAGCTGTGACGTTCGAGGTAGTCCAGAAGCTCGCGATTTATGCACCTCTCCATCACCTTACTTATAACAGAAAGCAGAGCTATAGGTCTGTAGTTGTAAGGGTCGGTCTTAGATCCTTTTTTGGGATAGTTTGGACATGAGCAAATTTCCAGTTTTCTTGGAAACTGCCGGATTCATAAGATATCTGGAAGAGACGCGACAGAACTGGTGCAAGCTCCGCTGCACACCTCTTCAGTACAGTGGCAGGAAGCAAGTCCGGATTAGAAGTTTTGTTGATGAGCAACTTTCCGCATAGTGTAGGGGAACCCTTTGAATTAGCACTCGGGCGTTGGGGGGACGTTCATGGTGGAGTTGTCAACAAAGACCTTGGCAAGCACTTTTGCCTCGGTTTCAATCGTTCCATCCTGACACATAAGTGGTGGAAGTTACGAGTACTTTCAATCTGCTTGGCCAGCGTCCAGAAAGACCGACTGCCATTGCGCTGTGACATTACCATGTGCCAACTTTTATATCGTGCTGGTCTTTGGCATTGCGAACCGCTCCGTTATATTTGTTTCTGGACTCGACGTCGGTTTGTCTGTTCTCTACAGTGGGTTTTTGTAGAAAGGTACTTCTGCTGGCGAGCAGTGTCACACGATTTGTTGAATCAGCCGTTGGACCCCGGTTCAGGCACTTTCGCTGTGTGAGGGATGTATTCCTCCATTCCGACGTGGATAATTTCGGTTATCGAAGAACGGGCAGCCGACGCATCCGCATCAGTGAAACAGACATCTCTCCAAGGAAAGGTAGAGAAGAAGTCTCTGAGCCCCTCCCAGTCGGCATGTCCGTAATGCCAAATTTTGCGGCCTGTACGAGTTTATGCTGCCTCAGCGGGTTCTGGCCGAGACCTAACCTCCACGACACAGTTGTCTGAGTTACCCAGGGGGGGGCAGGACAGCAGTGCTGTAAGGGACAGGATGCGTGGTCAGAAAGAGATCCAGCAGGCTACTGGCATATGACGAGACGTGGGGAAAAAGGTAGGGCTCGTCTCCAGCTGGGTCAGCCTTGAGTAAGAGCGACTGCACGACCTGCTGCATCGGTCTTGAGCCCAACCAAAGCTCATTATGGACCTCTGAAGCAGTTTGATTGATATTCAGGAAGTCGATCTTGACGGCGAGGTATTCAAGTAGGTCATCCGAGTTATGGTCCGAGGGAGAGCGATAAAGGCAGCAAATAAATTTGAGTGATGTTTTGGAGTTGAGGCGAAGCCACAGAGTGTCCCTCCGGTCTGATTCCAAAGAAACATCTCTGGAGCAGGAAAGACTGCTGCGGACAAAAGCCACAACTCGCCCGGTCTTTCTCAGATTTCAGTGCTCCTCGTAATTTGAGAAGCTAAGATAGTTAATTGATGCAGACTCTGAGATTTTTGTTTCCGCCAAGAAAAACACGGCGGGACGATTGGATTGCAGGATGTGATTAACCGCATCAATGTTGCTGTTAATCCCGCAGACCTTCGAAGTTGTTCCTCGAGACCACCCCCCACCCGGACATTCCGAGAGTGGAGTGAGTTTGCGCCCTCAATTCTTAGTGCTCGAGGGATCCATCATCATCAATTTCTTTGTTTTAGAAGATAACCGACTGCATAGCTTAGGTGTGGAAACTTGCGGACATTTAGAAGACACCCTGGGAAAAGCTAGCGGGTGGTACCGCCTCGGTCGACTTGTCCTTGTCTGCCACCTTCTTCTTGCGCCTTAATGATATTAAATAGACCTAAAGTGGCCCGTTGGCCGTCTTGTACCGCTATCCGGCAATCGGTACCGAGGTATTCCTTAACACGTGTACAATCGCTTGAACGGGAAGAAGTTGTATAATGGATACAATCACTTCCGGTACAAGCATTTGCTACGGCCCCGCTCAGTAGGGTCACATTACATATTTATTGCAAAACCTATATTTCGACAGGTAGATTGAATCATTTTCGAAATTTCCTCGCTTATTGCCGAAGGAAGTAAACAACACATGTCTGCTATTATTTTTTATAATCATTATTTTAGGCTTCCAAATTGAAAACATCAGCAAAAACAGATATCTTACAAACCAATAAACAATCTAATGTATGTTACAATGGCTTAGGAGGATCCAGCAAAGATGATGTATTTCCTTCTCCAAAGTCATCACAAACATCCACTAGTAAGAGGAAAAAAATTACCTGTACAAAGAACAAGTTCAAAAGACTAGCACCATCTGCAAGTGCTTGCACAAAATCTTCCGATATTTCTGAAATGTTTGTAAGCCTATCAGGGTAAGTTTTGCCAAAATTGTACTTTCATTATCAGAGACAGCTTCAGTTTTGTATGCTATGAGGTAAAGGATAAAATACGCACCAACCCCTCATTAATTAGGAATTTTGCACATTGAGGTGGTTGCCTAACTTGCTTACTGCCTGTGGGTGGCCTGGTCATTATACTTTGCATTCTTGTTAAGTGATGTACAAATGCTAGAAGCATCATACACTGAATACTGGGAACCTGGCGCATTTTTGTATACAGATGCTAAATACATGCTATCAGGGCCAGTGGCGTAGCGAGGGGGGGCGGCGTGGTCAGTCCGCACCGGGTACCACTCAACTTTTTCAGAATTGAACTCCAGACAAGATCGAAGTCTCTTCAAGACCTAGCTTCATTGTTTGAGATCGTAGAGGCAAATTTTGGCAAATACTGAAGAACTGAAATTAGTTACATCCAAATTTACTGATTTTTATGATGAGGTCTCAGAAACAGAATTACTTTTCTAGATACCAAGATTGTGAAAGCTGTTAATGTTACAGTTTCTCATTGGGTATCTCTAGATTTTTCAAAGTTTATTGTAGAATGGGATTTTACAGAATCTCTTCCAAATCTTATGATTGCACTAAAATTGATCATGAAGGTTTGCGAATCCATAGCTTCATGTGAAAGTAGTTTCAGTAAACTAAAATTAATGAAAAAACTATTTGTAGGCATCAATGAGCCAATCGCAGCTTAGCAATCTTGGTATATTAGCCATCGAACATGAGACAATACAAAATATAAATTTTGATGAAGTTATTTCTGAGTTTGCAGCTGTCAAAGCTAGAAAAAAGATTTTAATTGTAAGATAAAAATATTTTTTTGGTTTTATTTCAATATTTTAAATGATCCATGATGTTTATAAATCATATAAAATTTATTGCTTTTGACTTTCGATGGGGTGCCACCCAAGGTAGTTACACCACTGATCAGAGCATTTCTATAGACCAAACTTGATATAACAAATACGAGTCACTACAAAATTTGACAATCACAACTAAACTCAAAATGTTACGTGCATTATTACCATATTGTCCATATTAGGTCTTATATGGAAACACAATAGGAGCTATGATAATTCCCCTAAAATTTTGTATGGTCAGAGTATCTAAAATTGATATCCTTCCTTGAAGCTACAATTAATGTTATTAACCTGAAACTTTTATTTTACAGATCTACCAAGGGAAGTAATTCTAAATAGTAGTTACTGTTTTTATTTAATTTATTTTTGATATAGTTTATTAAAACTACATTACTTTTACTCTACATTTCATTTCTTGCCTGCTTTAGCTCCCCTTTCAGCTTTACGTTCTGCAGCTTTTTTCACTTGTTGTTTGGTGCTCAAATTATGCCTTTTTGAAAACCTCTGGTTCTTCAAAAATTTAGCATCCATCTAAAATTGAATACAAGAGTTATTATTTAAAAGTACTAAAAATTCGTTTTCGCAGGGCAAAATTACTAGATGAATATATAGCTAAAAGGAATACAATTATGCAGGGTTGTTAGAACTCTTCAATAAGAAAAATAGATGTTAATACCCACTGGCTGAATATATGGTTCACACTCACACTTTCATAGTTAAACTGGGTAATTCTCTAATTAAACTGAACTATATAGAATTGTACCAATTTAAAGCAAAATAAGTTGTATATTGAGATTATACAGCAATACTTACACCTAATGTAGATTCGTGGAGGAAGCGTTTTGGTTTTTTGATACCATTACGGTGAGCTTTGCGATCTAAAAAAAAAAATTACTTGATGAGAATGTTTATGATAAATGTTGAAATTACTTACTCTGGTTGTGATTGGTGTGGTTCTTTGACTTTGCCATTGCGCTTTTGCGTAGGTAACTTGTCTGCAGAGAGAAAAGAAACGTTTGTTTTTAAAACAGAAATTTCATATTTGAGGTTAGATATATTTTCTTTTTGAGCAATTGTAGTAAATATTGAAATATGTACAGATGAAAGCTTTCAAAGGAAAAATCAAGAATTTTAATGTAATAGTAACAAGTTTTATTAAATGATTTCAAGGATATATTGCGAAATTTTAAATGTAAGAAACTAGCTTACCAAAAATCGCTGTCAAAAAGAATCCCAAATCAAATAGCTGTCAATAACGCCATACGTCATGTTAACGTGTGATGTCTATTATCAGGCTGCGAACAAAATGGGTCAAAAATGAAAAATCCCTAGTAATCCGTCGGCGTTGCCAGGCTGAAATCATTTGCTTTAATCTAAGAGATTTTAAAAAATTGAAAATTTTGGTCAATTTTTTGCTACATATAGTATGTTTTTTATCAAATGTTAGTTTATCAGAGGCTTATACGAACTGTGGCATATTCTTCAGTGATTTAGGTATTATTCAATACAAACTTCATACATTAACGGTTCAAAAAGTAAATATAGAGAACTCTGTCCCAAAATATTCCCTCAGGTACTATGATGGCGATTAATTCTTATATACACCTTTGACCTGCTCAAAGGTCTAATGGATTGCGAAGAGGCGGATATAGAGGCGCTCCACCCTCTATATCGGCCCAAAAAATAATAAAATTGCAAAAAAATAGTGGAAAAGTAGATTGAGTCGGTAGTTTCCAAGTATTTTCCTACGCCTGTTTTCAAATTTTCCGTAAGTCAAGATAAACATTGCTAAAGAAACAAAATGCTTGAGCTCCATAATTTTCAAAAATGAGGTAGCATTACCTACTATGTTCACAGTGCTCCATACTCCGATAAACTCCGTTACCCCTCGCTATTTGAAAAGTTTTGAGGGTATATGTGCACTTTTACAGAAAGTTATCTCTTGCCAATAATCCACCCCTTTGATTGAGAAAACTTCCTGTGAGCACTCATGGTTAATACTTGATAATTCATATTAGGTATTGAATACAAGCAGCGGAAAACTTTTGATCGTTTTATCGAGTTAGTAAATGGTGTGCCACAGGGGTAACAATTTTGCGCCAGGTTTTATGGAACTTATATCATTTATATGCATCGGATCTTCCAAAAAACTTCAGTGAAGAAACTATTTTCTCGCAGTACGCAGATGACACGTGTGTGTGTGCGTGTGTGTGGGGGGGGGGGTGAATGGACCACGCGTTAATAAACTATTACATTAAGTTGATGTGAAGGTGTGAGTAATTGACGCGTACATTATCATTTTCGATTATTTAACTGTGCAACTTGTACCAAGTACAAGTCGGACTGGCTTCATTTCACTCGACATATGCTTGAAGAAAGCCTATAAGGTTGCAGGTGGCTTTTGGCGTTATCTTCAACAACTTGAGGAAATGCTCGACAAGGATCCCAACCGTATCAGGGTGACAAATTTGCAACACAAAATGCTAGTGAACCTACAGAAACAACCAATCACAGATCTACCTGTCCACTTGGCCCTTCAGCAGCCAGGGTATCAAAGGTGAGGACAACAGAACCCTCCACAATGACTTTTCTGGAGAAACTTCATGCACTGCTTTTTCGAAAAGAGAATCTACGTCCTTTATTTTATATGCGGTATTACTCCTGGCTACGAAACCTTTGACTTGATTGCGCCCACACCAATCCAATGGGATTGAGTTCGCACTGATAAGTGGGTAAACGAAGAATAATGACGCCGTGTTTTTCAACAAATCTACAATGATATATTTTTACTGTTTTTGAAGGTTCACCTTAGCCATAAGCTTGAGTGAGTAAACTTTGTGAGGCGTGTGATAGCACATCGCAACGATCGGAATAAAATGAACGAATCTGTTGGAACGGGTCCGACAACGGAACGAATCCATGGAAACCGAATCCTTCAATGGACCGGCAGGTGTATTACGTAACTTGAAAAGTGACATTACGTCCGTTTTTTGCAATTATGTAGATTTTTTATAACATTACTTTGGTTTTCCAAAGACTCGTCAACTAGGAACTAGCTGTTGCTCACTTCATGCTCGCTTGTAGCAAGCGCTGAATGAACTATTTGCACACAGCCTACTTAATCAACAAGTTGACGGTTTATCGGTTTTTTGACAATATGTAGTTTTTTTACGTAATAACCCCGCCGGACCGCCCTGCACCGCAGTGTAATGTCTAGATCAGTATCAGTTTGTGTCGTACCTAACGTCGTACCACAGCCACGTGGGCAGGGCAGATTTGATGGTAGCTTACGACCATCGGATGCTCGCACAAATACAATGAGATCGCTCGTGTCAGATATTAGGCACAAATAAATTAATGTTACTCTTTTCCGGAAAGCACAATAAAAACTGACTCAGGCGAAGACGCAGACGGGGTCATGCGCTTTTTTCATCATAAGCTTTTTTGAAAAATAAAATAACTTTGTTTTGTTAAGTCTAATCGATGAACTTGGCAACAATGGAATGAATAAAGAAAAGGGTCCCATAACTCACAGCTGTTAACTGTCAGTGTCAAAAAAGTGTGCTGTCAATACGCATATAGAAAAAGTATATAACTGGAATTTACTCTAATATCTTCAAAGTAATGTTTTTACTTTCTTCTAGATACTCACACGTAGAATTGGAGAAATCAACATACAAGGAACACTCCAGACTAAGATCGTTGTAACATGTATTTACAATGAAAAAACTCAAACAAGGTTGTATTATTAGCAAGACGTTTTGCGAAATGATTTACGACGAGCAATTTGTAATTTCTCGAAGGTTGTGCGAACTCGAGTAGTATCATGATTAGATATAGCCTTTGTTATGGAATATCCGTTGCAAGACTTTGATAATAGTCACGAAACTGAATTTCTACTGGGCAATAACCCAAGTCATGGAAATGAAATGGATGTGCATACAGCTAAATCCAACAGAAGTCCTCGCCGGCGAAGAAGTTTAGGATGTTTCTTATGCAGGTAAAGATATTTTAAGATCAAGACACTATACCCTAAATATGCTACATGAAATATGTGATTTTTCTACACAGAGCTTAGGATGCTAGTTATATATTATATGAACGTATTGCGGCTTTTAAAAGGTAATTTCTGGTATTGACTAGATCTCTACTAAATAACTTTTATTTTTTTGTAGTTTCTGCAATCATGGATCTTTAATTTTACCACCTATTTATAGGGATTTCATTTAGTTGTGGTGGCACTACTTTTATCATTTATCCAATATGCAGTGTTGCCAGATTTTGTGTATAGGCAGTAGCAATACTTCTCTGCGTTGTCCCTTTTCACAGTTTTTGGCGATTACGTCACAATGCCGTATGAAATAAGTGAACAGCTTAACTGTACCATATGCGGGAAGTTCACACTGCGCAACCAGATTCTTAATGCGGCTGCTAACTACTCGCTCTTACACACGTACACGTAACTTGGGTGATACAGGGCCGTTGTTTTCATTCACTTTCTGAAAATAACTAATAAAAACACAGGCTGCTCTTGCACACTTTCTGAAAATAACTAATAAAAACACAGGCTGCTCTTGCATGCCCATGACAAGCAACTTGTCATACTAACAGTGACAAGCATATATGTGGAAGACTCGTACGTTGACGAGAAATATTTCAAGGCAGTGAGACAGAACTAAATAACGTCTGAGAGCTAAAACAAACAATCCTCTGCACATAGAGGCCTAATGTATTATATGTAACATATGTTTTGATGGAGATCGATTTATACTCACAATGGACAAGTTTACCGTTTTTTTTATTATTAGCTCAAATGAAAGTTTAGGAAAATGAAACAAGATGGTGGAAAAATTATTAATTTATCTCTAAAAAAAAAAGTTACAGCCTAACAAAGTTGCGCCCCGCGAGAATATTTTTATTCCATCTGTACGTTACACGTGACGTCACACTTCACTATCCAGTTGCAACGCCCGCGTCCGAATCCTGGGCCGCAGCCGACTCAATCTCCTAAACACATACAGCGGGACACATGGTAGGCTAAACGTCTTCCGAGCCAATTTGTTTAATTAATTGACTGCATATACGATCGGCTATGAGCGAAATAAGAAAAAAAGGTTGTTATAAATACTGTACCGTTCCAAAATGTACGAGCACAACAATTACAACCCCTAATAAACATTTTTTCTACGTACCTTCACACGCGGCGTCCATAATGGTATGAACTTACGCGGTACTCAATAGTTATCAACTGGAAACCACGTGTCCGAGCGCACAGGTGTGCCTTATGAATTGTTTATAGACTAATGACTAAACGCACAGACGCTGTCGGACACCTACGCGACGGGACGCTGGGCACTAGAGAAGTGTGACAAGTCAAGTCATCGTTGGTTGTCAGAGCGGTCCGTGGGACCTTAGCTCTTGAGTCACAGTGTCAGTTTGTAGTCAGAACGAATGTCAAAGAAAACATTTATTCATTCAGCAGAAATGATGAAAAAAGAAATTAGCAAAACCGCATACAGGTGGATATCATTTAGTGAGTTTATATGGCCATATTTTAATATTCTTGTGGTATATGGCTACACAGGATACTTTGTTAAGCATAGGAACTACATTTAAAGTGTCCCCAACAACCGTAATGAGTATAACTAATAAGGTGCTCCACTTTAAATACCAACCCAAAATGGTAAATACCATTTCCATTTGGTTATCCGCTTGAATTTGATTTATATAAATTTGATGAACTGTCAAAATATTGACATATGTCAAGTGCACTTTAGACTGTGAACAAGGAAACAAATCCTTGACTGGCTCCTTCTACCTAGTCTGAGTTCGTTGGTTGTTTCTGAAAATCTGGCAACATCGCAATATCTCACTGTTTTCTATCATTTCAGCTGTCATGTCATTTGTTTTTGTGTGGCCTAGAAAGATAAATATTGAAAATTGATTAATCCAGACTCTTCATTTATTTGCCTTTTCCGTAATAAATATTACTTCACGTTATCTAGTGTTGAATCCTGCGGAATGTAGTTTATCTGTTGGGTATTACGGGCAGTGATTGTGCGTTCTCCAATATGGATAACGTTGAAACTCAAAGCACCATTACCAAAACATCAAAAGAGGATATTCCTCTAATTGCAAAACCATCCAGGGACTCCTCTTGGGGGTAATTATGTTCTTGTATAACTCTTTTTTGTGTGATTTCAAACCATAAACTGAAACGACATATTTTAGCGTAGTGTGACCTGGAAATTTTTGACCACCAAACGTACTGGAAGTACCATTGCACTGCACTGTTTACATGTTTATAATTTATATACATAATTAACATTAGTATTGAAATTGTTGATACAATAATTATCTAGGAATATTAAACGCAATAATTTGTAGTATATAGCAGCTTCTTTTTTTTATTCAATACTGTCTAGGACTAGGATATACAGATGAGTCAAGCCAAATTTGGTGGGAGAATTGTTTGAACAACAAAGTAAAGCATGCACATCATGTGGGAGCTTAATCAATTTGTTTTTTTCATTTTAATCAGTATGTAGTTTGATCAATGAGACTAGTTTTAACACTGTTAAGGGTTTCTGAAAATTAGCTTGACAGTGGATCAAAAATTAGGATATATAACTATGAATTTCAGATCCAAATTCTGTAAATGAAGTTTAACATAATTATAAAAAAGAGCTCCTCATGCAGAGGTACACAATTTTAGCATTAAATTTGCTAATGCAAAGAAAGAAAACCTGCAAATTAACACTGAAGTGATAACCATAAGTCAAAGTATTTTGTCGATCAAATTACATTTTTTGTTGACAATAACATTCTTTGTTGACAATAACATTCTTTAAGGAGCTGTCTATTGACATGACCACTGTGACATATTGACCATATTCTCACTACAATAATCCTATGCAGTCTAGAAAAAAGTTTCAAGACACAAAATGATGGTGACCTTGACCTACACCTTAAAGGTCATTTTCAAATGGAACCCCCCTTTTCACATCAGAAAATTTTTCATCTGAACATCACACCTTGGGCATTCAATGACATCACCATTGCCTTCAAGACTATTTCAAGGTCAAATCATGACATTGAAAACAATTAGCTTTAGCATAAATGTTGGACAACACAGTTCTGAGATTTCACCCAAGGTCAAGTTAAAATTTCCGACGGAAACCCAGGATGAAACTGCCCATTTTTGTACTTCAAAAGGAGAAAGCAGGAAACTTTATGTTCGAATGTGATGTTGATCTCAAATAACATTTAAGCTCGACACAAGCTTAATTTTAAGGTGAAGGTCGCATTTGGACATAACATTACCTGCTGTTACCATTTTGACTATAATTATGAGAGGTTTCCTTCAAAAATTTTGACTTGACCTTGAGTATCATGGTGATCCCCACAAACCTCACAACTGAGCTGTCTAACATTTTTGCTAGGGTAAATTGCTTTTGATGTCTTGATTTGAGCCTGAAATGGCCTTAGAGGTCAATCAAGGTCATGGCCAAGGTGATGTTCAGGGGTAAAACTTGCTCCTCCCCTTTTCAATACAGATGCGAAAAAGGGGAGCTCCATTTGGAAATATTCAATTGACAATGAGTGTCATTATCAAGGACACTGTCATTTGCCTACATTACCCTACAATTTTTATTTGAAACTTTTCTAGAATACAGTTTTCAAAATATTTAGATGGGGAGATTTAAACCATCTATGTGAAAAATTTAGTAGGCTGTGAAGCTTAAGGAGGGAGGGGGTAATTTTAATGTGCAAATAAAGTGAAGTAGAAATACTCTCAATTTTGGAACTCTTGCAAGTTCAATTAGTTACTTAATGTGCAAGTTTGACTACTATGTTTGACTGACCTTGTTATTTTACTGTTTGTGAGATCGCAGTGGTAAAGCTGAATAAAAAACATCCAGTATAGAGCTGAAACTATGAAGGAGTAACAAGTAACACATTGATTTTGATTCTATTTATTTGCAGTTGCTGGCGCTCTTTGTTCAGAAAATGTTGCGGACCCCGCATTCTGCAGCCTCGCACCATTTCTCTGGGCAAGCCGACTCCCGGACAGTTCCCCGCGAACGCCATAAGGAATCAGAAATATAACATCATCACTTTTCTACCCCTAGTTCTCTTCCAGCAGTTCAAGTTTTTCCTCAACCTCTATTTTTTGATTATGGCTACAAGCCAGTTTGTTCCAGATATACGAATTGGGTATTTGTATACGTATTGGGGTCCATTAGTAAGTATTCTATAGTATGTTTCTTAGTTTCATCATTTGAGAAAATATGAATTTGTCATGCTGGGACTTTCTTTATTATTAAACAGTAGATTGCATTTCAGATATTAATGCAAATATATTTCATTTTTTAGTGTTTTGTACTTTTTGTGACTATATGTAGAGAAGCAATAGATGATTTACGCAGGCACAAAAGAGATCAAGAAGTGAATAACCAGAAATGTAAAAGACTATTGAATGACGTCAATAAACCATTTGAAATAGTTGCTGCGCACAAACTGAAGGTATTTTTTGCTTAAAAAAACTATGTAGGTTGTTGCATATGATGTGGTAATACTTCAGGTTAATATTGTCCAAGTTAACTCCAAAATGAAAAGTTCATAGGAACATGTGTCTGTAATGGCCTATTTTTTCTACAGTGCATTTCACTTTAAGGTTGGCAACCAAAAGGGTTCAAAACTTAGTTTGTTGCTGAAATTGTATGTGGTGAAATCAGTTCTGCATACGAATGTAGTAAAATGGTATGTCAGGAGTATTAAAAGTATTATCCCTGCTTCAGAGGTAGTTCTCCTCAGTGATTCCAATGCCCATAATGTGGGTTGGTTGGGCTCAAACAAGACCGATGCAGCAAGTCGTGCACTTGAAGCGTTCACTCTTACTCAAGGGCTGACCCAGCTGGTGACGAGCCCTACTTTTTTCCCCCGCGTCTCGTCACATATCAGTAGCCTACTGGATCTCTTTCTGACCACGCATTCTGTCCCTTACAGCGCTGCTGTGCTGTTCCCCCTAGGTAACTTAGACCACAGTGCTGTGGAAGTTAGGTTTCGGTCAGAACCCGCTGTGGCAGCAGAAACTCGCCCAGGCCGCAAAATTTGGCATAACGAAAATGCCGTCTATGAGGGGCTCAGACACTCTTTCCCTACCTTTTCTTGGAGATATTTTTGTTTCGCTGACGCGGATACGTCGGCTGTCTGTTCTTGAATAAAATTGAAATTATTATCCACGTCAAGATGGAGGAATACAACCCTCATACAGTGAAAGTGCCCAAAGCAGGGTCCAACGGCTGGTTCAACAAATCGTGTGACACTGCTCGCCAGCAGAAGTACCTTCCTACAAAAACCGAATGTAGAGAACAGACAAACCGACGTCGAGTCCAGAAACAAATATAACGCAGCCAAAGACCAGCACGATATAAATGTTAGGCACGGGGTAATGTCACAGCGCAATGGCAGTCGGTCTTTCTGGACGCTGGCGATGCAGATTGAAAGTACTCGTAACTTCTCACAGACTAGCCTTCCAGCACTTATGTATCAGGATGGAACGATTGTAACTGACGCAAAGGCCAAGGCGGAAGTGCTTTCCAAGATCTTTACTGCCATCTCCACCACGGACGTCCCCTCCAACGGCCAAGTGCTGTCGATTTAAAGGGTTCCCTACACTAAGCGGGAAGTAATATACAAGCATAAGACCGTAAGACGGTTTCTCTTGTCGCTCGACATCAACAAAGCTTCTGGCCAGACTTGATTCCTGCCATTGTACTGAAGAGGTGTGAAGCGGAGCTTGCTCCAGTTCTTTCTATTCCAGATATCTTATGAATCCGGCAACTATCTCAAAAATAGAATCTCAGACCGACCCTTACAACTACAGGCCTTTAGCTCTGCGTTCTGGTATAAGTAAGGTGATGGAGAGGTTATCCCATAACGTCAATGCTGGTGCTCCCCAGGGATCGGTCTTGGCTCCGACACTGTACCTCTTACATATGAACGACCTCCAGCACTCTAAATGCAGGAATTCAAGGTGACATGCCGATCTATGCCGCTGAGCTGGAAAAAAGAAGACTAGCGACGACTTCCTCTCTGAGGATGGACCTCGAGGTTATCACTGCTTGAGGACACAATAATCTTGTACAGTTTAATGCCTCCAAAACACAGTTCTGTACCTTGATGAACAAAAAGCGTCCTAGCGCCCATCCGGTTTCGATGGATTGCTAAGTTCTGATAAAGAGCCGTTCATTTCGGCTGGTCGGCAGCAGCTGGGAAAAATCTAGGTTATTTGTTTAAGGGTAAGAAGTACTTTTCTCCGCATGACCTTCTCACTCTATACCAGACCCAGATAAGGCCTAGCATCGAGTATTGCTCACACGTTTGGGATGCTGCCGCCCTGACTATGCTCGATGCTGTCCAGAGCAGGGCTGTCCGACTGATCGATAACTCTTCTCTAACAGACAGTCTCGGGGCCCTTTCGCACCAGCGGGTGGTCGGCGATCTAGCTCTCTTCTACCGCTACACCAACGGACTTTGCTCCTCAGAGCCTGACGTTGGCTTCCCATCTTAACCGTTTCGATCTTCGTACATCCAGAACTGGCCGATACGACCGCTCATTTGTCCCGAGGGTGTCGAGATTGTGGAACAGTCTACAAGAGGCAGCGTTTCCCAGTTCTACTAACCTTAGACGGCTGCTTCTGTATAAAAAAATACCATTATTCGTATATAGAACTGCTGAGGTCCCAATTTTATATATTTCAGCAACATACTAATTTAGTCTTGCATTCTCTTTGTTCGTGCTTGTCACTCCGAAAGGTCAAATGATGTTTTAATTTTTTTGTTGTGATTCAAATCAGCACAGTTGGGCGAGTAAAAGACATTTTAATGAAACCTGGTTACTCCAGGAGAGTGCAGAGAAAAATTTCAGTCAAATTAACATAAACCTCGGTTCTTGCGTAAACTCAAATAATCAATCCCTGAAGTATAAGCTCATCTCTAAGCAATATCTTATATAAATTGGTTATAACATCAGCATATATGTTGTTAGGTGGGGGACTTGATTGTGGTTGATAAAGACGAACGAGTGCCCGCGGATTTAGTACTTTTACGTACATCTGAAAGCAGCGGTTCAGTTTTCGTGAGAACAGATCAGTTGGATGGTGAAACTGATTGGAAGCTGAGGCTAGCTGTACCAGCTACGCAGAAGCTAGCCTCAGACCATCAGCTATTTGAAATCAACGCTAGCATCTATGCTGAAAAGCCACAAAAGGACATCCATTCATTCATTGGTACCTTTACTCGGGTAAGTTTATGTCCCGATTTTTTGTAATGTCATAAGGAAGCCAAACAGTCTTTGAGAAATTAAATTTTCATGGCCGATTGTATTGTCGTACATTGTGTGGAGACACCTGTTTTGCCTTGTCAATTTGGGATCTTGAGAGTGAGAAGATAACTGTTATATACAAAAAGGTCCGCCTTTTTGACGTTTGGTGGCGAAACCGTCATCGCATTTCTGTTATTTCTGTTCTTTCCTCCCGAACTAGGTTAGGTTAGGTTTCTGGTGAGTGCATCAATAACAATCCTCCACTGCGACTTTTTGGTCTATTGTGGCTCATACCTATTTATATTTCCCCCAGTAGCTCTGACCTCCTGAGGAAGTCAATTAACTTGTTTGGAGAAATATCCTTCAGGTCTTCTGCTTGGAGTACTACGTCTCCCAAGTATGTTGTACCTGATCGTGGGAATTGTAGGGCATCTGTACAATACATGTCTGACCGTTTCATCTCCCTCCATGAGCAGGCTGGGCATGCCGGAAGATGCTGCATGTAGACTGTGATGGCATGTGGTGACGCAATTTGCAATGACCAGTGTACAGTCCTACTAGAGCTTTAAGGCTATTCCTGTTCAGCCGTAGCAAATAGTATGTAACCTTCTTTGTCAAGATTGGTATAGTTGTCTTAGCAAGGGTTAACCCTGCTAATCCCTCCCAGACTTTGCTTGTTTAGCCGTATTGTTTGCGATCCCAATCGCTGGCTCAGGCATTATGAAGCGTGTGCTAGCCCCACTCTTTGCCAGCGTGTCAGCTGTCTCGTTTCCCTCTAGACCTATGTGTCCTGGTATCCATGTGAGAAGGACTTCAATTACCTCCTCTAAGCCACTGAGAACTTCTGTGCAATTCCACACTAATTTTGATGTCGAGTAGGTGGAGTCAAGTGCTTGAATGAATGAATCTTGAAATTAGAGGCATTCCGGCCACCATAAGGAGCCAGTGCATAGACCGCTTAAGCGGGCCCTTATGCACCTCTACAATCCTTAGATCACAAGCCTCGCCCTTTTAGCGAAGTTGAGAATCGCCTTGAGTCCAAGGTCCTTGACGTCCTGAGAGTCCAAAGTAATGGACCCCAGTATAGTCTGCCTATAGTAGCTCAGAGCTTCATCACAGCGACACAAAAAGTGCGCCGAGGTATCTTCCTCTACTCCGCAGCGTTCACACAAGGGATCCTCAGCCACCCCACCAGCAACCTTAGGTTGGTTCTATCCTGAGATAGGCAGAAGCGTCCATCCTTAGCAACTGGGCCCTTCAATGAGTTCTCGTGCCTGGCGGAGATGTCTGGAGCTACTTCTCCATTTCTGAGAGTGTTGTCTTGCAACCCACGTCTCCATTTTCCTCCTAGCTTTATGCGCGGTCACTCCTAGAGCTGGCTCAGGACCAACGAGCTTGCTGGCTGATCCTATCTTCGCCAGAGTGTCCGCCGTCTCATTGCCCCTTATCCCAGCGTGCCCCGATACCGGATGCCTCGCTGCGAGGTAATCCAGAGCCTCCCTGCATTGCAATACAAGACTCGAAGTAATCTTACAGGCACTTAGTGCTTTCATTGCAGCCTGGCTGTCGGATAAGGTTGTTATTCTTCTCCTAGGCCCACCCTCCTCCAGAATGTGAGATACACAAGCCAGAATCGCAAAGATTTCCGCCTGGAAAATGGTGGTGTATCCACCGAGAGGCAGAGATAGCCTAGTTCTAGGCCCAGAGACCCCAGCACCTGAGCCCTCTTCGGTGACCGAGCCGTCCGTGTACCAGACCTGCCCGCTCACTCCGGAGAGTCCCCGGCTACCGGCATCCCACTCCTCCCTCGTTGGATACTCCACAATAAACTTGCGGTTGAAGCGATATTTAGGGGTAATACAATCACCCCTGCTTAGAAGGAGGGGTCCTCCCTTTGTAATTCGACTAAGATGGCAGTATGCCCCTTGACAGGATTTAAGAAAGCCCAGCTGCCCTGACTCCACAGTCGATGAGCGACTATTCTCGCTGCTTTAAGTGCGGCTTGACTATCTGAAAAAATAATTATAGTTCTGTGTCTCAGTTGTGGTGGTGGTGGTGCCGTCCGAGAATGCGCCTGGAATAAGTAATGTCAGGAATGTGTCAGTGATTTTATTTGCTTTTATATTGAAGTTCTATTTCATGAACGTAGATTTACAAAATATCCCGATTAAAAGTAATATTCCTTTCAGTAGTTTTGCTGAAAATAAGGTTCAGGGTAATTAAATTTAATTCAAATTATGCACAAAATGCTTATACAGGGTGGCCCATCCATGTAGGTCGAAATTGGGAAATCCTGTATAATTGCCAATATTTTATAAATATGCCCTAAAATATCATGCCATAAACAGATTTTCCCAAAATGTATTTATTTATGAGTAATATTCCGTCCACACATGGATGCGCCACCCTGTATTTTTGGCAAATAATCACATGCTGTAAACATATTTGATGCCAATTCAAAAAGGCGTTCGTACTTTATATAATGGTTCCAGAGACTGATTCCTGAGATAAAAAAATCTACCAACTACATCACGCTAATATGTTAAATACACAGCATACCTGTAGCACTTTATGACAGAGTCTTCTTAACTTCTACATATCCTACAATACACACAATGAAATATCTCCAGAAGCATTGTAAAGAGTTGTGAATCTTCATGTTAACCAAAACAAACCCCATATTTGAGTGTTTTTATATTAAATTTAGAGAAAGATAAATAATCCCGGCAAGCATCACGTGACTCGAAGCCGGTAATGCAGTTTCCTTGTTTTTGCCTGCAAAGCAAGACTTTGGCAATGCCAGTTCGCCCATAAGACGTTTCACCCTGCTGTGATGCTTGTGTTGCTTAGTTTTAGCGGTTACGTACTGTATATTTTATTGAATAAACACGTGCCTATAGCTGTGGTCAATTGACTGATTGTGTATAATTTCTTATAGTTGGATTCTATGAATGGAGATGAAAGCTTGGACCTGGAAAACACTCTCTGGACAAATTGTGTGATAGCTTCCGGTCAGGCCACTGGATTAGTTATTTATACAGGTAACTTGCTATCTTTTCTCTTAGATTTGAATGAGTACATTTAATTTTGTTTTATTCAGGTCCAGAAACTAGATCAGTGATGAATAATTCTGCTCCAAGATCTAAAGTCGGCTTGTTAGACATAGAAGTAAACACAATAACAAAATTACTATTTGTGGCAGTGATTGGTTTAGCATTACTAATGATGGCTTTGAAAGGTTTTAGTGGACCTTGGTACAGATATCTATTCAGATTTGTCTTGTTGTTTTCCTATATCATACCAATTAGGTGAGTATAATGTTGTTTGCACCTTGTATCTTCATAAAAAATACAAATTTTGCATACTCTTGCAAATTACCTTCTCTTTGCTCTTTACCGCTTGGAGCGCTAGTGTCGTACTTTTATTGAAAGGTTACTATAAAAGTTGTGCAATATGACTTAACAAACGGACGACGGAGGCTGCATGTTGAGACATCTCCATGAGAGCATAGTAGCCGATAGCAGCACGTCTGTTGATTTAGTTGTTCATTTGTATTAGTATCGACAGTGTAGAGTGCGGACCACGTGCGGACTATGGCATCGTGGTCACGTAGTGAGATATGGACAGTTTTACGGTATAACTTGACGCGTGGCTTAAGCATAGACCAGTGCTTAGAAGGAATGAGGCTTGCATTAAATATAGAGAGAATACCTAAGGGGCAATTTCACTCTGGCGGGAAGGAAAGCCACAAACGTCAATAATAGAGGAAAACACCTCCATGCACCAGCAGTTCATTCAATTCTGCTTGACCATTTACACGTAAGACAACTTTGTGATCTCTGGGTACCGCATAATCTGACGGAAGAGCAGAAGACTCGTCCTACGCCTTGGTGCCGAAAGATGATGAAAATGTTTGATAAGGGGCAATCTCGACATGTGAACAGCATCGTGACAGGCGAGACATGGATTTATTATTGCGATGTTCCGACCAAGGCTCAAAATAAAGTTTGGGTCTTTGATAATGAGGACACACCTGTAGCTGTCAGAAAATCCCGATCTGCTGAGAAAAAAAGATGATAGCTGTATTTTTCAAATCGAGTGGGATTGTGGAGTGTGTCGTTTTGGACACACAGAAGACAGTCACAGCTAAGTGGTACATGGACCAGTGCCTGCCTAAAGTCATAGAGTCTATGAAAAACCTGCGGCCACATTCAAGAATGGACACTTGATAAACCTCCACCATAACAACGCTCCAGCTCACCGCGCCAAAGCCTGCCTCGAGTACTTGACCATTTATTGAGCACCTTCCGTACAGTCCAGCTCTTGCGACTTTGCACTGTTTCCGCTTGTGAAAATGAACCTAAACGGAAAACGGTTTTCTAGCGATGAGGACCTTCTGCGGACTTGGGATAACTATGTGCCGGTTGAAACTTGGCAGAGCTGGTTTGACTGGTTTTGTCGGATGGAGAAGTGTATTATGTGGTGTAAATTACTTTGAACGAAGTCAGTAAATAAAGCTGTATTGCAAAACTTTTATAGTACCCTTTGTATGAATGAAAATGCACCTGGCATGCTGACAAAAGTAAGTAAGGTTATGTAAGATGCTAAAACCGAAGGTCATTCTAACGGAGATTGTCTAGTCTATTCAATTTAAGTTTCACTGATTTTATCCCTTACCTATCTCACATTTTCAGTTGTATTAAAAATGATGCGTAGTTTGAAATAACCTGTAATATCAATGGACCTTGGGTATTCTTGCCCGACTGCCTCGAAGGACGGATGTTTTTCGCGCGTGTGTATTTATATAGATAAGGATGACTCTATTTCATGGCCTGCAGTCCAAATGGCTTGATAGATTTTGGCATACGAGGTGTTGTTATATTCTTTTCAGCAGCGCAAGTGATACTGGAGATATTAACATTTTATAAAACTGGAGTAGCGGATTTTAATCGAAACTTTCAATTTTTTTTCACGGGCTACAGTCCAAACGCTTTGATGGATTTTAACATTTGAGGAGTCGTCTTGATAGCACAAGTAAAATTCCATTCTCCTGCAGTTTTAGGTATTTTGTTTAATTATCGGCTTGACTTAAATGTACGAAGCTGAAAATTTTTGAGGAAGAATTAGGTGTTTGGGGAAAAATTCTCTATTAAGTTAAAACCATGGATATATTAATGGGATGAGGACAAAAATTGGAGAAGCACCACCAACAATCTTTGCTAGACTGACCATTTTATTTTGATATTTTTCATAACCACAGTTACGTATGCTAGCTTCTCAGTTGCACTTTCTTTCCTTTTTAAACTACAGTGCGTATTGTGAGTAGGTAGTGAAAGCAACTCTTAACAAGTTACTTGGATGTGGATAGAACCGCTTACACGTGTTGATTTTATAGCTTGCGGGTAAATCTAGATATGGGAAAATCCTTCTACTCATGGTCTATTGGAAAGGATCCTGCTATGAAAGGCACTGCAGTGCGGTGCACTACCATTCCTGAAGAATTGGGAAGAATATCGTATTTATTGACTGATAAAACTGGAACATTAACGCAAAATTCGATGGTGTTAAAAAGATTGCATATCGGTACTGTTTGTTATGCTACGGATAGTTTTAATGATGTAAGTAGTACTCTTATTCAAAGAAAGCAAACTGTTGTAACAGAAATAACACTCATATTAAAAAAAAACATTTTTGTAGGAATTCTAAAGTATTTTTCTTTAGATCAGTATTAGAGTGTAAATAATTCTTGTAGTAACAAATTAAATGTCTATACTCATATGGTTAGTGTGAATACATATTATTATTATTATTACTATATTTGTTTTTTGTTGCAGGTGAGTACTATACTGAAAAGCTCTTTTTATAATCCAGAAGGTTCTGGACAGAATTCGACAAAATTCAAGAGATCTGAACACACTAGGATTAAGGACGCCGTACAGGCACTAGCTCTCTGTCACAACGTGACTCCTGTATATGAGACCAACGATAACACAAGCTTAGGTAAAAGATAACAGAAAGACACACATGTTCTGCCAACATTTATAAGCTTATAACATATACTTGTGTCATAAATTGATTGTGGGTTTGAGTTCATGTTTGAAATCGTAATGTTTAATATTAATACAATCTCTAAGCAAATTTTTAAAATTTGTAAGATCAGAGTTTTTCTATATTCTCAATCTATCCTTCCTAGATTCTGGTTCTCTAGAATCAGAAACAGAAGCAGATCAACACCTACAATCGTCTGGAAACATAGTCACTTACCAAGCTGCCAGTCCCGATGAAGTTGCCTTAGTCCAATGGACTCAGGCTGTTGGGTTGATGTTGAGTAGAAGAGACTTGAATTCCATGCAGCTCAAAGCACCGAATGGCAGGACCTTGAACTACGCCATTTTGCAAATATTCCCTTTTACCAGCGAGACAAAACGCATGGGGATTATCGTCAAAGTGAGTGCACTTACAACTTTTAATAATTACCAACTCTTCTAATTTCGCAAACTCGTACATTTACGAAAAAGATAGCTATGAACATGTAAAAGAATTGAATAGATCAAGTCTGTCAAAGATGCTAATTGCATATTAGCCCATAGTTCCTACCCATTGGGTAACGCTGCGATCCAGAAATTTCTTCCCTCTTCTACTGACAGTATCGACCATCTGACAGCATTGCTAAATAGCAACTCTTATGACCGTACGCGGAATACTACACGACTTAGTTTTCTAATAAAAGAAGTATGTATGTCGTTGTGTTTATTTATTCCGTGAAAAAGAGCTAAAATCCATTCTGCCTAGTATAAATGTACATGCTATGAGCAAATCGGGAAACCAAGGTCAGTCCGCACATAAATCGCTTTATTTGTAAGCCAGTATTATTCCAAGCGCCGACCGCAAAGTCTTGGTTACATCGCGTACAGATATGGATAGTTAAAAAACTAGTCAAACCTCACGTATTTTGCTGTTTAGAATCAAAATACGTAAGTTGTGACTAGTTTATATCGTATCATATCAGTACGCGATGATGTAAACAAAAAAATTACGATCGGCTTCCGTACTTTAATGCAGATGACTTCCAAGATCAATGGGGGCGACCGGTGGACTATAAAGGCTTTTCACGAAGTTGATAAACTACTCTTTGATGGGGCCGTGTGTCATACGGGTAGGAAAATATTGGAATTTTTACCGATACATTTCGCTGACCCCGTGATTTTTCGTAATGATGTTCACTGGCTTGCGAGATCCTACAATCTAACTCCGCTTGACATTTTTGTGGGGATTTCTCAAGGGTAAGGGCTATTAAGCGCGTCCGTGGACGGTTAATGTCCGGAAGTTGAAATTTTCTCAAGTGATTGTTGAGCCGCAATTATGTAAAAAAAACTTATAATTTTTGGCGAAGAATGCTCATTTGTATAAACAGATGAGGGACAAATTTGGAGAACATTATTTACAAACCATAACTCCCACACTTTTACATGTTGATAATATAAACAATCTTACAGTGAAAATTCTTAGAGATGCAAATTTTGTTTTTTCTAAATATCTGTATGTTATTTAATTGTTTAGTTTTTTAGAAGAATGTAATTGTAGCAATCATGCTAAATAAATCTTAAACAAACAAACTATTTTTCCAAAATTGTTTTATCTAACAATATACCGACCTACCTTTACAACCTTTAGATTATTTGTTTTGCAGGATTTGCAAACAGGCGAGATCCTCTTCTATTTGAAAGGTGCAGATGTGGTGATGTCAGCTATTGTACAGTACACGGATTGGCTAGAGGAAGAAGTAGGCAATATGGCCAGAGATGGTTTGAGAACGCTTGTGGTGGCCAAGAAAGTGCTGACAGAGGAACAGTACCAAGATTTTGAGAATCGGTACAATGCTGCGAGAATGTCCACCACGGATCGAGTTACCAGAGTTGCACAAGTAGTGGAATCACTGGAAAGAGAGATGGAACTGCTTTGCGTCACAGGTAAATGGAATTTTTTTATTGTTATCGTTCATCATATTTCCGTAACCCTTTCCAGTCAGGTTTATCTTTCTATCATGAAACCGTTCATTTTCTATTATAGGTATGCTAAATTAGTGTTCGTATATATAAAATGCTCCGTCAAATGTCATACAGTATACGTCAGAACTCGACGTCAAGCCGGAAACGGGGGATAGGCCAAGTCATAATAGTTATTAGAAAGATATAAAAAAACTTAAGTCGTGTACTTTTCAAATTATAGGCTTAAAAAAAACGAAAAAATCTACACCCTTTGATGATCTTTTAGTTCTCATTGCTACCAGTTTCAATTTTTTTCTTAGACGGAATGACGAACAGTGTTATTCTGCGTAGTGACAGCAAGACAGATAATAACGCCACTTTTATTTTTTCATCGTCGTTGCATCTGCCGAACTTTTGCGGACAGTATCATCAAAAATAAAGATTGGCGTACTGATTTAAAACCTCCGCAGATGGGGAGAGGCACAACAATAAGAATATAGCACAGTTCACGAATATTTGCTGTTGACGTTAGGTTTTATAAAAAATTATCATTCCTACGATATATCAGTATTTTGCATCCAAAACGTACAACCAAAGGTTTTCCACTTTTTCTTAAGAATGACAAATGCCAAAACTTCAAACATAAGACAAAGCTTTGGCGTAATCATTTCTACCTTGACGTAATAAGGTCTACCACGCGCTGTCTTTAGAGCTCTTAGGCTTTTATTTTTTATGTTTTTTCCAGGCGTTGAAGATAAACTCCAAGACAACGTACGTGCCACCCTAGAGCTGCTCCGTAACGCCGGGGTGAAAATCTGGATGTTGACCGGCGACAAGTTGGAGACGGCCACGTGTATAGCGAAGAGCTCTCGGCTGGTGTCCAGGACGCAGGGCCTGCACGTGATGAAGAAGGTGGTGACGCGTACCGAGGCGCATCTAGAACTGAACAACTACAGGCGCAAGCAGGACTGCGCGCTGGTGATCAGCGGCGAAAGTTTGGAGGTGTGTTTGTCATGTTATCAGCCGGAGTTTATGGAGCTGGCAACGGCAGCGCCGGCGGTTGTTTGCTGTAGGTGTTCTCCAACGCAGAAGGCGCAAGTGGTAGGTTGTTTTGTATCTAATGCAAATTTCTAAGGAATATACTATAGCATCGATGCTTCTGTCAATCCAGCAATTTATATTTTGACTTTCGTTTGTTTGATAACTCATGAGTGACAGAGCGACAATAATGTTTCCGTCTTTACAAAACCTACCCTATATCTGACGTTATGGTACATTGCTCTGGTTTAGGTCCAGTTGATACAGAAGCACACTGGAAAAAGGACTGCAGCAGTAGGTGATGGAGGCAATGACGTCAGCATGATTCAGCAAGCAGATGCTGGTATTGGTATTGAAGGTCGCGAAGGAAAGCAGGCCAGTTTAGCCGGAGACTTTAGTATCCCACAGTTTTCTCAATTAGCAAGGTAAGTAACTTGTTTGGACTATGTAAATTCCTGTGTTGAAGCTTCGCCTAATTTTTGAAAAAAAATCTAGTGTGATAAACTGGTAAATCAAATATTAACAAACGTAATCAGCAGAAAGCGCACGTGGATTGAATAAAGAATATTCAATTTTCATTACACTAATTACACTTCATAGTGGCTTATGTATAACTGACTAATTCCTTTCTCTTAATATCGTCAGGACGAAATAAAATACATCCGTTTTTTCTCTCATTGTTCAATGGCGATATATATGAAAAATGATATATAAATTATCGCATCTCTGAGCCTCTCCCACTTGAGCTTTTTTATTACGATTTCTACAACTTTCCTCCAAAATAATTTGATTTTAACTGAAAATGCGACATCGAAATTAATTTCAATGGCCGAAATGCAGTTAGAATCGGGCCCCAGATTTAATGGCCCCGGACTTCTGCCCGTGTCGATTCCAAAGAAATTTGGTTCATACCAACATTTATTAACGCATTTTACCCGAAGATAGTTAACCTAATGTTTATTCCCGCGTCCAAAAAATTATCATAGATAAATTGAGATACCGTAGCGTCATCGATAAGCTGCTGTTTTTCTATTTACTATACAGTGAAATTTATTTACGGTTTTGGTTGCCGCTTTCAATATGTACGACACACACAAAGAGAGAGAGAAGCGGGCAACACCATTCAGTGGATATGTTTGTTTTCTCGGCCTAGATAATGGATTTATTTTGAGCGAACCCATTTCTAAAACGCGAACTGTGTTGAATCGGCTTGGAATCGATTCCGATTCAATCAACGGTTATCTGATTTTGGTGAAACTAAAACTTCAGGGTCGCCACAAATTCTGCAGTATTGCGATTGGTTTGACAACATTGCGTCTCGGTACACGCCAACGCAAGGTTTCCACCGCCATAGATTCGGCATAGTCCAGTGCTATTAGCGTTGTTTTCTTTTTTCAATAAGTAATCATTTGAACAAGAGTTTCTTAATGTTGAAATATAATAAAACAAGATGTGTATGATGTATTAACGAGATTCCTTTTTATTTGAAATTTCTGTTATATGAGAATTTGTATGGAATATGGGATGAGTCGTCTGCTCACCGTAGGTTAGTAACACGCGCAGCTATTTCAAGCGAACATAAAATGAATCAGAGTTAGTTCCATGTTGGCATTTTTTGAGAAATCGTACATAATGCCAAAAAAAAACTACATAATGTCTGATGCGGCTTCGTCCCGTAAGGATGAATACGTTTGGAAAAAAGGAAATGTGTTCATTACCTTATAGTAGAACTGCCCAACTTGAGTTGAATAATTTTAACTCATAGAACTAGCGGTATATGGCGATAAAGTAGCGTGCACGCACCTTTCGAAGCACTTCAGAGTATATCCGCGATACCTTTTCTCCCTCTCGCGCATCTCTAACTTCTCTCAAAAATCTTCAAGGAGAGGAATCATAGGCAACCAGGATTTAAGATACAGGATAATTGTAAAGAACATTGCGTGCAAGTGAATTTAGAAAGAGGTTAAGTTTTGATTATATAATAATAACAATAAGATAAGATTACAATATAATAGACTCAATAGGAAAAAGAAAAAGTGACGAAAAGGTGTCGTTTCAGTTTAAGCTGTTTTTCAACTTATATGGCATGTAATACCGTAACAATGTCATAAGAAATCGAGTGCGGTGTTCAATTGATTACTTGTTGGGAAAAAAATCTAATAACACAGGACTATCAGGAATCTATGGAGGTGGAACCCTTGCATTGGAATGGATCGGGATGCGCTGATGTCAAACCAATGACGTAATCTTGCAGAATCTGTGACGACCTTGAACTTTCACTTCCACTTAAAATCGGAGAACCGTTAAGACTGATTAGGAATCGATTCTAAACCGATTTGACACATTCGCGATTCAGAAATGTGTATAATAAGCATAATTAAAGAAAATGGTGTAACGTTTGGCAACGCGGAAAATTACAGCCTCGCTCCGTGCCGTCCACCACTGTTGCATGTTTATGAAGCCGCACTCTTTCTAACATTCGTGTTACATGGTGTGGCACGCATCTCTCTCTCTCTCTCTCTCTCTCTCGCACGCATTGAAAGCGGCGTCCAAAACCGTAAATTTCACTGTATCTACTTTGAAAAGTTAATGTCTGTTTAGCTGCCTATTAAACTTTAAGCTACAACGTTACATTAACGTGAACAAGAAAATCAGATATCACTTCGATCTAAAGTATAGTCCTTAGTTTTCTCTTGAACATTGTTACATTTTCTGCTATTTTTATGTGGTCTTTATACTGGCAAACCATTATGAATTCTTAAATCTTCAAGTGAGATTTTTCCAATGTTCTGGTTTTGAACCTTTCAATATAATAATTGTATACCAGATTTTTTCAGCATAAATTTGGTAAAATAAGTTGGCGCTTTACTGTTTGTAATTTTAGTGTCTCATAGATGTAGCTACATCTACCTATATGCATATACATGCTCATTTAGACAGTGCCATCTAGGATGCACTAACCATTTCAAAGTATGCATAGTAATAGAGAAAAAGCAGTGACAAATTCTTGTAGTCATACGGTATCTCATTTTATCTCGGATAATTTTTTGGGCGCGGAAATATCTTATAATAGCGTTTGGCTATCTTATACATTAATTGATGATACCAATGAACCTAGCAATAGTCAAACAAAAAGCTTCCCAAATGTGCCAATCAATTTTTCTATACATAACTCCTAGCTTTCCCTAATAGATAAAAATGAAGAAAAAATCTATTCTATTTCATTATTAGGATATTGGGTACTTAATCAGTGCTATATTATGGGTTCCGTATGTTATACCTGTTACATTTATATTATCTGCTGACATCTTTGATGAAACTTTTGAATACCTGTACATCAATGCAGTTTTTCAGTAGCACAATTATTTGATATAATAGCTTGAAACAAGTTTCAATAAGAATTGTCTGTTTATATAAGACCAAATAGTATGCTTTACGCTTTAATCCTTTTAAGTCACAACCAAACCTGAGACTGAATAACATTTTTCCAGGTTGTTACTAGTGCATGGTAGGAAATCATACAAACGATCAGCATCCCTAGCCCAGTTTGTGATACACAGAGGATTGATCATTTCCACGATGCAGGCTGTGTTTAGTAGTGTGTTTTATTTGAGTTCTGTTGCCTTATACCAAGGATTTTTGATGGTCGGATATGCTACAGTGTATACCATGTTCCCAGTAAGTTGTGCAATATACAGTATGTTTTTATTATGCATAAACGATTGAAGGTGAATTAGAAGGAGGTTTCAACAAAGTTCGACGACTCAAAATGAGCAGTTTTGATCCTTATATAATGTGAAACTACCTTTAAGTGTGATTTATGGATCAGATTCTTTAACATTTGCTCGAAGTTCCAGTATTTTCTGTTTCTGAATGTGAATATGCATTTCAAAAGTGTGTACGATCACAAATATGAGATTTGATGTAGTCACAACAGTCCAGGTAGTATCTTCGCATATGCTCGAGAAGATATTTTGCTTCATTTTTTTGCATAATGTTATTCAAAAAGTATCCCTTTTAATGATCCGCATGTTGCCAGGCCCACAATTGCATCAAAAAGGAATAAGGAATTTAACATTTGGAAAAATGTAAATTATGCCATTTTCGACCCCAAAAACAATATGAAAAAACGAGTATTTCAATATCACCACAGCTCCTAAAAATTTTTAAAACATTCCTTAACAAAGTTTTAAACCTTTTTTTTTGGGGGGGGGGTATTGTTAATATAAACCTTTGCTTTTTAAATTAAAAGTTTATAATTATAATACCTCTTTAAATGCTCTAGGATTTTGTTAATGGATGTTTAAAGAATATTTAGGAAGTTCGGTGACATCAAAATTTTCATTTTGTTCTCCGGGGTCGAAAATGACATCTTGCACTTTTTGTACTAATTCGCTTATATCTCGAAAACCATCAACTGTATATAAAAGCTCTAAATCACCGTTTCTGTTCAGAATTCCAAAAAAGAAATAGAATTATTCCCTTTGGATCGAAAAAAAAACAATTTTTGGAAATTGTCTTAAAAATTGTTTAAATATGTAGTTTTTGACAGAATTTTGGGCTTGGAAATATGCAGATTCGTTAAAAGGGGCCCTTTTTGAATAAGATTATGTAAAAAAAATCGAATCAGAACATTTTTCTGAGTAGATGCGAAAATTCCAGATACTAATCTACTAATGATACAAATCTTTGGCTACATGCTACCGATATCGTCCATACAGTGTACTCGCCATTGAAAAGCAATAATGTTGCTTTCCGGTGTTCAACCAAACCAACCGTGTACAGCTGTTGTGAGATATGTTTATTTGGATTTTGGAAGAATATTTTGTCAAAATTGTTTTCAACATTCTAGTACTAGTTCTTCAAGGGTTAAGTGGTGGAATAGCTTGTAGCTAAACTTTGCCTTAATAAAAGTCTGTTATTATTACTATTATTATGTTTACAGTTCCAACCAGCTGTTTTAAGTAATAGATGGCACTTGTTTGCTGTGTATTGAAGTATGAGGTTATTTTAGCTCTGGTTTAGCTTGTTGACCCTCTTAGCCTGAGCGGACGATTGTCAACAAGCAAATGGACTAGCTTCACAACATCTGAATAGATTAGAAGGAGCCGAACCCAAATGTTTACAAAGCAGTTTTATATCGCTAGCATTACGCAGATTTAGTGCATACTTTTGGATAGATTTTCCTATCAATACCCACCAAAGTGATAAACCAATACATCGGCGAACATTCTTTCCTTTGGAAAGGATATAGCAGTAACAAATTGTAATGGATGTACTCTTGTATAGCAAGGCAAAAATTCTATCTATGGGGCGGTGTGAATCATTTAGTAATCATTAAATAAGTAACAAAGGGAGAGAAAAGAAGACTAGCAGCGACTTCCTCTGACGGGAGACCTGGGGATCACTGCTTGGAGATGCGTCTATTTGATACTGTTTAATGCTTCCAAAACGCAGTTATGTACCTTGACTAACAAAAAGTACGCTAGTGTTCATCCGGCTTCGAGTTTGTGAAACAATCTACTTGAGGAGGCTTTTCCCAGTTGACCTAACCTTGTGCTGTTCAAAAATCGGATTAACAACTTTCGTTAAGCTCCTTATAGCAGCCGCGTTGCCCTGGTATTCAGGCTTCTGCCTGCGCGGCTGCTTCGGTGTAAAAAATATAGATAATATGAAGTAATAAAGTAAATATTTATTAACGATACAGTTTATGAACAATTCCAGCTGATTTCGAAATTTTGAAACATTACATAGTACGAAAAATATTTGAAATAGAATTCTACTCGTTTTTTCTAAATAGCCATGTTGTGTGTGCGCTCAGATGTGCGGCTAAAGGCAAATATCTAGTTGAATATCACATGGTAATTACTGTCACTATATTGATGGAACAAAACGATATAGAAGTGATTTAATTAAATTTATATGATAGATTTTTTGGGGTATGCTGGGAACCCTTAACAAAATCTTATGGAGTTAAAATTAAAAAAAAACGTAAAATTACTATTTATAATTCGAAAGTGAATACCTTTCTCAATAACTTTTAGATTAAAAAAGAAAATAGCTAAAACTCAACGTTAATGTCCCAGTTAGTCCATTTCAGTGTATATATGATAAATTCTTGTTTGAATCCAATGTACATTTTTCAATGTTGTGTTAGGTATGATGGAACTTTGTCAGACTGGGATTCCGCACTCAAACAACAAAACTGCTGGAATGAAAAAAAACAACAAAAAGATCCCACAACTATCCAAGTGAAAGCCCATCATTGAAGTACACGCCCATTTGCAACACCTATGACTGTTCTGTATTAACTCACGGCTTCTTGCAATCCAAAAAAGCCTCAACAATTTTCGGTAATTTTCTATCAGAACTATATGGAAATCCAACCGCTTTTATATATTTCCGTAGAAAGATACGAATTTAACGCGAAGTGTCAACAACTGTCAAGCTGGCGGTTTAAGACTGATCAATTTGTATGTATTGTATGTACTTGCATACTGACTACTGACAAGTCATGTGCTTACTCCTTCTACCTTGTCCGAATTTGTTGGAATGAACGGACAATAGCAGTATTATTCATTTTCAATGGCAATTACCTATATGTATTATATCGCAAGTATCAGCAGCATCTAGCGGTCAAGGTGATGACAATCTATTTACCTTCTATTTCAGGTGTTTAGCTTAGTGCTGGATCAGGATGTAAGTCCGGAAATAGCGCTCAGATACCCGGAACTGTATAAAGAACTAGCTAAAGGAAGGAGTTTGTCTTTCAAAACGTTCTTTATGTGGGTACTGATCAGTATTTACCAAGGTGGCGTGATCATGTATGGAGCCTTGCTGCTATTCGAGGACGAATTCATTCACATAGTAGCTATTAGCTTCACCTCACTCATACTTACAGAACTGATCATGGTGGCCTTAAACATCAGAACGTGGCACTATCTCATGGTGTTGGCGGAACTATTTTCACTAGGGCTGTATGGATTGTCGCTTGTTGTTCTACATGATTATTTTGGTAAGTAATTTCAAGTGAAAATCTGTTTATCTAAAAAGTATGCACTGCCAACTGTATCCTGGAGTTTTTCATTTAAACGTACATTATTTTTCAGTACATCAGCCCGTTTAGCGTTATTAAAAACATAGTAATCCAGCTGGTACATTTTTTTAATTGAAAAAATCATCCTGTAGATAGGATCAATATGACAGGAAAACAGCACTGATGCTTGCAAGAACCAGTACCGTGCACTTTTTCGCTAACAGGGAATTTCTGGATCCATTCTTATATGAACTCTTCATATTTTACATGCTGAATCTGACCTTATTTTTTTAAATCATGTGTTACCGACATGTTTGTCATAATTTCTTCATTTTTGTCCTGATTTCTTCATTTTCAAGCTGTTATTTTCAGATGCCGAATTCATCAGAACGAAAGATTTCTTCTGGAAAGTACTTGTGATAACTCTAGTTTCTTGTCTGCCTCTATATATTTTGAAAATTTTGAGGAAGAAATTCTCACCGCCCAGTTACAGTAAGCTATCCTAATTCACAGTTTAATTTTTTACCACGTCATCGCGAGTTTTCCATTAAATGAGTAGTGGCAGTCTGGACACGTCATCTAGACAGACGAAGATGCTAATGGTAGTTTTATGATGCACTAGTTGAATAAAATATGTACTGAATCTGAACAGATTGTTTACGAACTTGAAGGTACAAATGAACAACTCAAACTTTGAAATAATCTGCGTTGAACAGTTTGAATGAATAGGAAAGAGTGAATGAGTCGTATGAAGGAAATGTTTATATCCCAAAAAAGTTTGTATTTATTTAAAGTACCAGGCACAAAACATACGGATTTGACCACTGGTCAATTTTGTGCCTTAATCTTCAAACATCTCAGTTTAAAAGTTGTCCAGCCTATGTTGACTGAGTATATAAATTTTACAATTTATGTTTGATAGAAACATGTTGGTGATCTGAAAATCACGACGATAAATAGCATTCTACTGCATAAGTTATGGAGGCTTATCAAATAAATCCAATTCATTTTGGAAAACAAAAAAGGCGTTTTTATGAATGTTCTGTTAATATTAGAATCTCTTTTGTCTATACAAAACGGCATCAGGGGCGGAGCCAAGGATGACATATTTGTATCATATCAACAAAGTTCTGGTTTAAGTTTCACACTCTGTATACTTTCGTAGCTGTCTATCAATGAAGAAAGCCTTAGTTTGGTCCTGCATCTTGTGCTGACAATAACTATAAAATGACTTTTTTTCGTGTACATGTACACAGCAGATCACTTACAGCGCAGCATGAGGTCACAAGACACTATGTTTATTTACAGTAACGATGAATTTAGTGCATGAAAAAGAAATATTTCCAGAAAAACTCGGTTAAACATAAACTCATGTAACTTTTACTGATTTTTAAAAAATCTAGGCATGATCTCGTGATCAAAAACTTTATGCCAAATTCCCTAGAGACATTATATTAAAACAGTTTTACAGTCCTCAGGACCAATGCATGCAAGCTCTTGCAATTGCAAGACGGTAATTTGTCTGCAAGAGAAATGCATCCAATCACAAAACAATTAAATATAACCACACAAACCACCTTGGGGACATTTGAAAGCATTGGTAACATGTAAGTTACTATTCCATCGTAATTGCAGACAAACTTGCATGGAAAATCCAACTGATTGATTTTCATGTAAGGCCCCACATGAAGTATCAGCTGTTTTGTTAGTGCGCATGCGTCTGATTAACATTTTTCTTGTTCTTGCTGACTGTAAACCGGGTATTAATGTTGATATGATTTTTGTTTTGCCGTACTACCCAACTAACTTTATAGCAAACATCATCTGATATACAAAACTAGCTTTCGTACGTTTAGATTGAAAGGTCGTTTTTCTTTAAAGTCCCCCATAACGTTTCCATGAACTTTTTGCACAAATAAGTATGAAATGTCAATTAAGCGCAGCGGTTTAAGTGGATAACGAATATGTATAGGTTGTAATATAGATATGTGTAAAAAATTCTGTACTTTTACTAACGTTACACGATATTCAAATTCAGCTATGTTTGATATTGTGAATTAAAATAAACCAACCAGTTTCATTCGTACGACCTGTGAAGAGTGGTAATAGCAATTTATTTGCTATAAACAATTAAATCAAGTTGGATGAAAAATAACCTAAAATCTAATGCAGTGTGTAATATAGAGTGCCAAACAAAATTTAATGTTCCCATTTTTGTAAAAATAATTGGTGTGCACTCACAATGCTTGGGTGAATTAGGATACTTTGAATTGGTAAAGAATAATTTCTAGAATTAATGATATAAATCAGTATTTTGCTAAAAGCGATAACTGTTAGATTGAAATTAACCATAAAATGGTAAACATATTTGATGAAATCGAATTATACAACCTTTGTGATTTCCATGTACATTGAGTGAGTATTTCAAATTTTGAGTTGTACATCCATAATTATTAATAACTAAAACAGTCAATCAATTTTTGATTTTTAAAACAAAATAATGTATTATATATTCACATTTGTTTTATTGTTGTATTATAATGTTTAATAATTTATTATACTTATCCATAAAAGATATGAAATATATATGCCTATTTAATTACACTGTCCGTCTTTTCGACAAAACCACCCGTGTAGACATTTTGGAACAGGTCCTGGAGTAGTAAATTCCGCCCTACCAATTTCGGTTAAACTTTGGGCGTCTAGTATAAGAAGACCAGCGTGGTTTGTGTCTGTCCTGCCCCATACTAGTGAAACTAGAACTACTCCATCGTCTTCGTTCTGAAACATATTAACACCAGTTGACACCTTAAGGACATCCACAATAAAATTTGTTGATATATTGGATGACACAGAAGATAGGCCTGGAGTATATTTTTATTCAAGGCCAGTGCTACACGTTCAATATTTACTGAGATTCTTCAGTTTCATCATGAAAAGTAACATTTATTGAACGTGCAGCATAATATACTTAGTGAAATTAGAAGTGTTACATCCAGGAAAAATAATTTCTTCAACTTGTTTTTTTGCAACATAGTGACCATATTTAAAGCATGCTATGGCAACAATGTCAACGTTTTTGTTTACCTTTTTTTAAAATGTTATCTCTTAGTTTTTACAAAGAAAGCAGTTTCTGAGAGCTGAGTAGTAGATATTTTTAGTTATTGATCTTTCATTTTCTAGTGCTAAGCAAAACAAAATCATGTAAGCGACTTTCACAGGGAATTATTGCCTATCGAGATGTTGGTTTGTCCTATCGCGAAATTGGCCGCCGTGTTAATTGTACTGCAATGATGGTAATGCGTGTGTGTCGTGTTTGAATAGCAGAAGGTAGAGGGACACGGCACATACCAACTGGTCCACTGAGGCGTAACACAGAGCGTCAAGATAGGCGTTTCAGACAACTAGCCCTACGAGACCGTTTTGCTACTACGCGTCAGATCGTTGACCAATGGTTTGGAGAAGGTTTTTTTAAAGACCGTCGCCAAGCCGCAACCTGGAGCGAGTGGGTATATGAACCTCCTGACGTGCTGGAACTGCCGCTGATTGTAAATCTTCTCGCACGCTTTTTCTTCATCATCTTCATCTTCTATCACCCTCTTCTTTCGCCCTATGTCTGCCTTCCCGGATCAACCGGATTAGGAGTTCGGAGAGGTTGAATCTGTCGATCATCTCGTCCCATTTGTTCGAACTGATTTGTTCGTTCCTCTCTGTTAGTTTTCTGACATGTATCGATCTGGTACGAGGCTCCGCATATCCTTGACCTCTTGTCACTTTCCTGGTTAGTTTGCCTCTTGCCATATTCGTGACAGCAGTTCAGTTGTCAAGAGACTGCAGCATCTACGAGTAGTTGTCAATGTTGCCCAGGGTGACTAAGCACCGGCTGCATACTTCTCTATCTACCTTCTACCTGGGACACCTGAAAAAGGTATGGAAGGCATCGTCCATGGCCTCGCAGTACAGGCAGGATGAGTCGTCGCAAATGGCGAATCTGTTCAGATACGCTTGGAACCACCCGTGCGCTATCAATAGCTGGGCCAGGTAGAAGTCAACTTCGCCATGCTCCCTTTTAACCCATGCCTCCAGATTTGGTATCGGTGCCCGCGTCCAGCGACCCTTAGTGGTAACTTACCATCGCTGCTGCCAACTTCTCACCAGTTGATCGTACGCTGCTTGTCTTCCAGAGTTAGGGGATCGTCATGCACCTGCCATCTCATTTCCACTGTCAGGTCTATGCGTAGCGTAATAGAAATTACCTTAACCGCCTCAGCGGATACCGTGCAGTATGCACCATTAATTCGCAGCCCTATCCTTCTACTAACTCTCTTCAGCTTGGCAAGATGACGTTTTTTACCCTCATGGCCCCTCCCCATGTGGGTGATGCATACCAGAGTAGGCCACTGAACCTAAGGTCGCTCTCTTGCTCGCTCGCGGCCCTCCAATGTTGGGCATCAATCTAGATAGAAGTGCGACCAGTTTTGCAACCTTGGTCGCCGCCCTGCTTATATGCTGCCCAAAAGTGAGCCTACAGTCAATTCATATGCCAAGGTATGTCAAAGCCTTCCCTGGTCGAACCTCTTCTCCATCTATCAAGAAAGATGTTCGCTGTAATTTCCTCTTCTTGGTGATTATCACTGCTTCCGTCTTTTCTGGGGCTAAGGACATGGACCTTCCTCTGAGCCAATAGCTGACCTCTTCGATAGCCCAGTCAGCCTTCTGTTCCAGCTCTATCTCACCTCTGGCAACGACCACTGCAGCGAGATCATCCGTAGGCTATAAGCATTATACCTTGTGGCATTTCTAGTTCTAACAAACCGTTGTGTAGGACATTCCACAGTGTAGGTCCGAGAATCGAGCCCTGAGGCACTCCTGCGTTCATCTCTATCAGATGATCCCTACCAGGTTCTATCCTGATTTTGCGGTTCTCCAAGTAACTTGCCATCTGATACAATGTGTTTCAGCTTGCTATCGATTTCGCCTCTGGATGCCACGTTGAATGTACATCTAGAGTTATAAGAGCGCATAGCTGCATCTCCCTGTGAACGATGACGTCTGACTGCTTGGCAATTCTTATGACTTCCTGTATGGCATCTAAAGTTGATCTCTCTTTACGGAAGGTATACTGCCTGTCGGAGAGTCCGCCCACTACATCCATGTCTTCGAGTAGCCGATTCAGTAGCATATGCTCCAACAGCTTACTTGCAGCATGTAGTATTGAAATATTCAAATACGAGGACGGAATTCCGCCAGGTTTGTGTTTTTTTCTTAAGAAGCACTACATCTGCTAGTTTCCAGAAATCTGGAAATACTCCCGTACGCAGCTCCCGATTTGCCACCTGTAAGAATATTCCAGGCACTTCGTTCACGGCGAGTTTAATGATTTCCGCCGGAATTCCATCAGGCCCCGGTGCTTTGTGGTCCTTCAATCTAGTCGTAGCTTCTTGAAGTTCTTCCAGTGCAAAAGGGATGCTGGCTCTATCTGAATCATTATCAACCTACAGTGGAGGACTTGGTGGCAAAAGCGATCTAATTATTTTCAACCTCTTATCGAATGGAATCCTATCCGAAGGGACTAGACGTAGTCTCTTGACCACTATTTGGTATCGTTTGCCCCATACGCCATTGTCTACATCCGTTAAGAGTCTCTTCCAACAGTTCCGTTTAGATGTTTGGATTAGTCTTCTAAGATGTTTTATAGCCTCCCTTTACTCCTGCTTCAATACATTTCTGATTTCCGCAGTCAAGTTCCTCTTCGTTGATGCTCTCTTGGCTTTAAGGCATGCTTTTCTGGCTTCTGCGATGTCCTGCGTCCACCAGTAGAGACTTCTTCTATGGCCACGACTCTATCTTCTTGGCATTGTGCTGACACAAATCTTGGTTAGCAACTGAATCAGCTCCTCTGCTGTTGTTCCAGTGTTCTCATTCGCACGGAGATGTAGCTCATTTCCGAAACCTAGTGGCGTTTAGATGCCTCGTCTGATCTGCGGTATGGCCTCCACAGTATCCCCATGCAACAACCAACTTGAATACAAGGGTAGCTATGACAACTTAAGCTCTCCAAGTCTAATACTTTCCAGTCTCGTATGTTAGTGGAGACACCCTCTGTAGCTGAAGTCAGGTCCAAGATAGATGCAGACTCGCCTGTTGTAAAAGTTGCTGCTTCGCCCTCATTGACCACCATTACATTATGTCCAGCTAACCATGCAGTTAGAATATCTCCCCTTCCATCAGAATACGTCATTCCCCACTCCGGCGCCTTCGCGTTGAAATCACCACACATGATAGCTTTATTCCTGGATATTGCAACCTCTTTAATCCGAACACCCCGCTGCCAGTCCGGATTCGGGTTATCGAAATGTTCGGATTAACGAATATATGTTAAAATACATATTAGGTACATTTACAAGTACATATGTACATTTTTATTTATACATGTACCCTCTACAATTATAAAAGGATGTTAATAACAGTAAAAACATACAAACTTTATCTAATAACAGAAACTTAAAATAGTTATTTATTATGTATATAAGTGCTAAAAGTGACATTTTATTTAGTGAGAAGGGCAGTTCGAAGAGCTCGTCGAGCGGTTCTTGTCAAATAGTGGTTACCATGGTTATTTAATTGTCGTTGTGTATTTTATTTCTAATCATTGTTGAACGCAATCATGACCACCTTCGCAACACTGAAAAGCAGAAATAGCATTGCTACAAACATAAATTGTGAAATATTTCGGAAACTGTAAATTTTTGGGATAAATATGCTTATACAAACTTACCTTTATTTTTAATCCTTAGTAGGACAAAATTTTAAAATGGGAGCTTTTCATTTAAAAAAAAACGAGGTTTGTGAGACGAAGTGTTTTATTACTTTGAACCTAAAAAAACATAGCTATATGTAATCTAATTTTAAATTATCACAAAAAACATCAAAATGCAACAAAACTATTATTTATCAGAAGCTTTAAAAAAAATTATTTTGGATTGCATTTTATCTTGAACTTGAATATGGAATTCCTGCATAGAATGTAATAGAACTTACCTTTTGTTCTTTCCTGGCAAAACCATGTAAATAAAGCCCTTGCGACCTTAGGATTTGAACTGAGTTTTAACGTTTTTCTACTGGAAGGACCAACATCATTTTCATGGAGAAATGCCATTTTTTTTTTAATATCAGCTACTGTAGCTTTTCCAATGTCATATTTTGACATAATATTAGAATAACTAACACCAGCAACTATATCTTTCAAAACTTCTAGTTTTTGTTTTAGATCCAACGTTGTGTTTTCTTTTTGACATTTTTAATATGCGAAACAATCTGCTGCTTAACAAATGCTATGCGAAACAAACTAACCGAACCGTACGGAACAATACAATGAATATGACTGAGTACCGTTTGATTTCAAGTCAAGCACCAACAGGAATTTTTCTGTCTGTCTGCCGCAGTGTTCGGTATACCGAGGTAGCGTTCGGACTATCACCTTGTAATTTAGTCGTTCGGATTACCGTAGGTTCGCATTAACGTGTGTTCGGATTAAAGAGGTTGCACTGTAATTGGAGAAGGTAGATCTGTTACTATCAACGACGATGAAAAGACCTAGACCTTTCTATTTACACTAAAACGCGTTGAAAGGATAAATATTAGGGAATTGCAATGTTGCCAGTTACTAGCTGATAGAATTCCTAACCTGGTAGTAAACAAACCTCAAACAAATATTTCATCGTGTAAACCAGCTATTTGGACTCATGAAAATAATAAAATTGTTAACATTCTTGAAAATC